TCTTTCCCTCTACTGCTGATAAACAGAAACTCCCGTCGAAGAGCTGGCTTTGCTTCAGAAGGACTCATTCAGGCCTCTCTGCCTTGAACAATATCGTTGAGTACGTAGGTACACAGGTATCTGCTTTGCTCCAAGGATGCCCCCTGGAGCAAAACAGACATAGATGGAGTGAGGAAGACAGAGCCTGTTTCCACTCGGTGTCTCGGGAGAAGCGGGCATTAAACAAATTCTCCCAGGCATATATCATTACAAATGAAACTAAGTGTTGTGAAGGAAAATCCAGGATGCTTGGGGAGAGTACAGCGGGAGGGCATGGTTTAGATTAGGGGGTTAGGGAAAAGCAGAAGTGGGAGTGTGAAAGGCTTTTGCAAAGGTTTAGAGCTTTACATACGGGAAGGAAATAATAATAATAAAGGTGTTTGGAAGGGCAGCTCATCCTCATTCATGGGCCACTTCCTAGGACTCTGGGAACCTGCCTCTCTCCCCCGAATTATGTAGGCATCCAGGGTAAGGACTGGAAGAGCCTTCACAAATGCTAATAGGTGAGCGTTTTACAGGCTGCCCCCTGACCCTCTGCATCCTCATCCGTAACTAGTTTGAATGAGGAGGTGAATGGCGAGGATGACTGGCATTTCCAGTTTGGGAAAAAGGAGGTGGAGAAGCTTTCCCACCCCAGTGAGGGCGCGGGGGAGGGGGCAGGTTTCTCTACCCCAAACCATCCGAAGAGGAACGTTTTCCCCGAGGATATCCCACTTCATCGTGTATCTGGTTGTGAAGGGGGCTGAGATTTGGGTTGTTCCTGGGGAGTTTTGGTTCTGGAATCTCTGACCCTGTCACCCCTCCGCCCCCCAACACACCTGCAGGAAAGCTAGACCAGAGTGAAGTTAGGATCTGAAAGCGGCGGTGGGATGCGAGAGGGGGTGGGGTGTTAATTTCCCCGGAAGAATCGATCAGGATCTGGTAATAACAATAGCTGACACTCAGCACCCATCCTGTGCTGGGCACCGTCCTGAACGCTTTCAAAATATCTTAACACAACCCCGTGAGGTAAGCACCGTCACTAACTCCATTTCACAATTGAAGAAACCAAGGCACATCGAGGCTGAGCAGAGATAGCAGCTTGCCCCTTTGCCTGCAACAATCTGAAGCAAGGTTTCTGAGCCAGGGTTTGGGCTGCAGGAGGTGTGGACCGCCGACTCCAACGAGGACCTGATCCGCCTCCCCATAATTCGGGAAATAGCTGGTTTTGAAAGGCTAACTTGGGAGCCCGTGGGAACGGCTTCGGGAGCCTCACGCCCATCCCCTTCGGAAGCCGAGGCGAGCCGGCACCCCTCGCGCGGTGGCGAAGACAGGTTGACAGCGCGGCGGGAGGGCTGCCCGTGGCCCCGGTTGGACCCCCGAGACCAGGCCCCGCGGCTCCGCTTTCTGCGCGGCCTCCGCGAGGTGTCGCCTTCGGCCGAAGAAACCACAGCGGCGCCACCCTCGTAGCCCGCAGTTATTTATTTATTTTCAAACAAGGGGGCGCCCCTCTCCTTTCAATTTAAAACTACAAACCTCCCGCGGTTTCGTTCCTAAATGGGCGCGTCCTCTCCCTCCCACTGTGCACCCCGGGTCCAGATTCTCTTCCGAGATCACACACGAGCAACACCCCTCCCTCGCCCCCCGCACTGCCCGGCTGGACGTCGGCCTAGCGCTCAGCAGCACACACACGCAGTCGAGGCGGGGGCTGGGTTAGGAGCCTCTGCACACCCCCGGAGCCCTCCGGAAATTTTTTTTTTTTTACGCCGAGCAATTGCCAGGCCCGCAGGGTGGGTGTTGCGTTGCACCGCTCGGCGCGCAGCTGGTCCGCAGAGTGCACAGGGGGCAAGCCCGGGGGTCTAAAAGGGCGGGAGGAGCACGCCCCGGGCTTCCCAGCTTTGCAGCCTCCTCTCTGCAAAGAAGAAAAGCAAGTGGCTTTTGGCGCGAAAGCCTTGGCGCCTCCCCTGATTTTTATGGAAATCAAGAGGGCGGGGTAAAGCCGCTTTCCTCTGCCTTTCTCCCTCCCCCTTGTCTGTGCCGCAGCCCCCTTCTCTCCCCGCCCCCCGGGTGTGTCAGATTTTTCAGTTAATAATATCCCCCGAGCTTCAAAGCGCAGCCAGTGACAGTCATCTGTCTGGACGCGCTGGGTGGATGCGGGGGGCTCCTGGGAACTGGGTTGGAGCCGAGCTAGCGCTAGCCAGGCGCAAGCGCGCACAGACTGCAGCCACCCGAGGACCACCCCCCGCCCCTGGCCACCCGGGGACCCCCGCACAGAATAGCCTCAGGATCCCCGGCCGTCGGCGGGAGGTAAGGAGCGGGGGGCGCAAAGCGCCCGGCGCCCCGGGAGCGGCGAACGCGGCGGGAAGGCAAGCCCTGGACGGGATAGCGGCCGGCGCACAGGGCACCCGACTGTGCCCGGGGGGCGGGGGGGACTGTTTCTGCTTCCGAAACAAAACCCTCTCGGGGTTTTCCCTGAAAAGCCAGTTCCAGTCCCCAAGGCTCCCGGACTGGGAGAGACCCGCCCTAATCCATCTAGTGCCCTTGCCAGGGGTTGTAATGGCTTCATCGAAAAGAAATTCACCCTTCTCTAGAACATTTGTCTGCATCTGAGCTGACGGGGAGCCGGTGCGTCCCCACCCCGAAGCTGGGTTCTCCAAAGGGTGCCTCCAGAGGAAGAAGACGGGGGTTAAGCAGGGCGAGGCCGTCGCGGTGGTAATCTGGGTCACTGCCGCCCCGGCTCACAGGAGACGTGGCTCTCCCTGCGACCCTCCCCGCGCTGGTGTCCCTGAACCATTCCCGGGGAATGGGGTCCAGGCTCTCCCAGGAAGAGGATGTCGTTGGGGGCTTGGAACAGCGGGGGTGGGGGTAGAAAGGTTCAAAAGCAGCTATTGACAGTACTTTCCCTGCAGCGGGTGATGGCTGGGGGCGTCGGATCAAAATTTGGGGGAGGGAGTTCTGGATTTGGGTGCCTGTTGTTGGTCTCGGTCTAGAGAAAGGGTTTTTCCATTTGCGAAGTTTCCTAAACCCCCGCTATCGCTTGCGCTCCCGAGGTTGCTATTTTACAAAGGAGGGGGGTGGTTTGAGGGTTCTCCAGAATCCTAGACCCGGTAGCTGGGTTGGAGTCCTGGGCTTCCTGGGAGCAGCGGGCCCTACTTGGGTGCAACCGCGGGTGTCGGTGAGCTGGTGGGAGCTAGAATTCTGCAGCCTTGGGCAGCCCCCTCCCCCAGGCAGTGCCTTGTGTGAAGGAAACGGCAGTTTCCAAAGTTGCAGAGCTACGCCGCCACCCCCCGCATCTGCATGCCCCCTCCCACCCCCTGTCGTAGACAGCATGTACACAAAAGGAGGGAGGGAGAGAGCGAGAGACACAACTTGCTCCACCTTCGGGAGCCCTGGGCGGAGTGGGGGTCTTGGAGGGGAGACTGAGAAAGCGGGTGAGAGGGGGTGACCGCTGCCCGTCCCCACCCCTCGCGCCCCCCATCCGGCTCCGCTTGCCAACCCTCTCCCGGTGTGTCTGTCGGTTGCAGTGTCGGAGGTTGGCGCGGGCCCCCGCCCTCCGCGCCCCTCACGGGAAGGAAGCACCCCCCGAACTAAAAAGAGCGGAGCGGAAAGAAGCCCTCATTCGGCGGCCAGGAGGCGAGCCGATGCCGAGCTGCACCGCGTCCACCATGCCGGGGATGATCTGCAAGAACCCGGACCTCGAGTTTGACTCTCTGCAGCCCTGCTTCTACCCGGACGAAGACGACTTCTACTTCGGCGGCCCCGACTCGACGCCCCCGGGGGAGGACATCTGGAAGAAGTTTGAGCTGTTGCCCACGCCCCCGCTGTCGCCCAGCCGTGCCTTCCCGGAGCACAGCCCGGAGCCCCCGAACTGGGCCACCGAGATGCTGCTGCCCGAGGCCGACCTGTGGGGCAACCCGGCCGAGGAGGACGCGTTCGGCCTGGGGGGCCTGGGCGGCCTCACGCCCAACCCAGTCATCCTCCAGGACTGCATGTGGAGCGGCTTCTCGGCCCGCGAGAAGCTGGAGCGCGCGGTCAGCGAGAAGCTGCAGCACGGCCGGCCGCCCGCCGCGGGGCCCGCGGTCCCGG